CCTCCATCCCAGGGTGCAGAGGCGTTTGAGAGGCTGTGTGGCTTCTCTCCTTGTTGGCCCTCTCCCCTGACACAGGAAGGAAAAAAAGAGAATGCGGAAATGGTGATCTTTCCTTCCTTCTTATAGCCCTTGAACCTTATCACCCTACTCTACTATGTGAATCATCAAAAATAGAAAAGAAAGAAATATTTTCCATCTACTGGTTGACTCCAGTTGCCAGCAACAGGCCTGGGCCAGGTTGTATCCTGTATTTTGGAACTCCATCTGAGTCTCCACGGTGGTGGCTGGCCCTAGAGTTTGAGCCATCATCTGCTCCCTCCCAGGATTCATTAGGAGGAAGCTGCAGTGGGAGCAGAGTGCCTGGGACTGAGTCACAGACACTGAATGTTAGCGTCCCCCAAGTAGTGGCTTAAACCACTGTCATAATGTCTGTTCCTAAAGTCAATGTAGTCTATAGAGAAATGTAAAGCAAAAAGTTTAGAAATGTTAGAAATGTAAAGCAAAAATGTAAAGCCAACTTTATTATACAGAGATTTATTTTACTATCCAGAAATAACTGCTTTTAATTATGTGGTATATTCTGTGCAATTCAAAGAATTGTAATTATACTGAATATATTGTTTATATACTGGATTACTGGATTGCTAATGAGTCTTCAAATATTAGATGCTTTTGTTTTTACATCTTTCCATGCATTCCATGCATGCACCATCATATGTTGCTTCCATTTTTTTCTGTTATTAGCAATATTTTATTAGTAGCCTACTATGCAAGTCTGTATGGTTTGGGATATTTGCTCAGGCCCATCTGTCTGAATTAGAGGTCTAAAAGCTGTGCCTTACATTTTCACCAAATTATACAATGTCATATGTTAGTGCTCATGTCATTTTTATCATTAGCTCATATGTGTATCTTACAGATCAGCAGTCAACAAACTTCTGCGAAGAACAAGATAGTAAGTATGCAGCCCAGTGCAATAGCGTAGTGCTTAAAGTCCTCACCTTGAACGCACCAGGATCCCATATGGGCACCGGTTCTAATCCCGGCAGCCCCGCTTCCCATCCAGCTCCCTGCCTGTGGCCTGGAAAAGCAGTCGAGGACAGCCCAAAGCTTTGGGACCTTGCACCCGTATGGGAGACCCGGAAGAGGTTCCTGGATCCTGGCTTTGGATCTGTTTAAAAGAAAGATGAACAAATGCTAAAAAGATAGCTACCAGTATTTGCTATAGGGAAGAAAATAAAAAAATACATAAAAATTGCAGATTATGTAGGAGTTACGTATAATTTGGCCTTAACAAAACACAACATAACAGCTTGAAATAAAAACTTTTTCAACTCATGATTTTATTTGGGTTGAGCACAGCTGGTCTTTCCTAGGTTTATTTATGTGTCTTTAGTAAGCTACAAGTCAACTCCTAGGATTTGATTTGTTCTTGGCTAAGGAAATGGGACCAGGTGTCTTTCATTATTCAACAGGTTCTCCTTGGCTTAGTCTTTCAGTGGTCTGGCATAGTTCCAAGAATTACTACAAAAACATACACATGTTTTTAAGGCCTAAACCAGAAACAGTGCATTATCATTTATGCTGTATTGTTTTGGTCAAATCACAATAAAAGGCAAAGAGAGTGAAGAAACAGACTTTCCAAATCTGTTCTTTTGAAAGTTTGAAATGTAGAAAAAGGGAGAGGCACAGGAAAACAAAAAGTTTCTACCCCTTAGTTCACTTTGCAAATGGTTACAATGGCTGGGCCAAGCCAAAGTCAGGAGCTTCATCCAGCTCTCCTACAGGGATGGTAGGGAGGCAAACTTGAGCCATCTTTCCCTGCCTTGTCCGACACAAAATCAGGGAGCTGTATTGGAAGTAAAGCAACTGGGACTCAGTCTGGACGTGAGCTGGCATTTATGGGATGCCAGCTTCACAGGCAGTCTTGCCCGCTGCATCACGATGTTAGTCCCAGGACTCTCTCAGTGGGAGGAGCTCCAAAGTTACAGAGTCATCAAAGCACACGGACACTCAAAAGTTTGTGACATTTTCACAACATTTCAGTTGTTTAGAGTTACCCAGAAAGTCAGCTAGATTTGCCACCACTGGGGAAAGCAATTATTAGTCATTGTGGTTGCTGCTGCTGACAGCCTTTGCTTCAGGCAGCAAAAGGTCAAAGGCTGTGATGCTGTGGGTTAGAACAGTAGTTAAAGAAACATGAACCCCTGGAATATTTACTGCAGAAAATTTTAGAGATGATATAGTCCAATTCCTTCACATTAGAACTATGAAGTGAAATTTTCTTATCACTTTAAAGATTGAATAGCTTTAAACCAACAAATGGTAGCTTTTGGCTCATGTTATATTCCTCAGAAGAAACTTTCAACATTTTAAGCCATCTTGTTTTTATTTGCATAATTCCAAGCAATGCGTAAGTAATATTCAACTGCTTTTCTTGTGATTCATTATTTTTGACTTACACTGACTATGTTAGGACATTAGCTATATATATATAATTATATAATATTTATATATTATCTTCTGCCATGTACTTAGTAACATTTCTTGCTTGACTCACATTGCAATATTTATTAAAATATGTGTAGTAGAAACTGGGAAATGTGAGGACATTGATTGTCCCAGAGCCTGGAGGAGTGCAGCCCCACTGATCTTTTACAGCCAGTGAAACTGATTTTGTATTTCCAACTTCCAGAACAGAAGGAATAAATGCATGTTGTCATCTATTGTGATAATCTGTTACAGCAGCATAAAACATACAACCATGTAAATGCTGTTTGGTGCTTATTTTATGGTACAATTTTATTTATGCTGGGTTAAATATCGAGCTTCATTTTCAGTTAGTTTGGTTAGCTGGCTTAAGCTAAGCCTTGTGTCTATCAGCTCTGTAGAACACCTCTCTACAACTTCTCCTTATTGTCAGACATGTTAAAAACTCGGTAAGTTTCTCCCTTTCCCCTTAACTCTTTACTGAATTGGTTCCTCCCTGCATAGCTATCTTGTGGGACTTTCTTGGGCTGTTACTTTTGATTTTCTGTCACTTTTCTGAACTGAATCTCCATATCTTCCATCTTCATTGGTTTCTTGTTTAGTAGAAGCATATTTTCTAATAACTTCCTGAGTAAAAGCTGGATGGGAAGAAAGTTTTTGAGACTTTACAACTATGATAATATTTTTATCCTACTCCTTTTTTTAAATGTTAATTTATTTGAAAGGCAAAGTTAAAGAGGGGGAGACAGCAGTTTTCCATCTGCTCGTTACTTTCCAAAGGGCCACAATTGCTGGGGCAAGGCCAAGCCAAAATTAGAACCCTGTAATTCCAGCTGGGTATCCAACATGGGTGCAGGGTTCCAACAGCTTGGCCATCTACTGTTGCTTTGCCAGACACATTAGCAGGTAACTGGACAGGAGGTAGAGCTGCTGGGATATGAACAGAAGCCCATCTAGGATGCTGACATTGCAGGTTTGGTTTAATCTTCTCTGCCACAACGTTCACATCATCTTTATTTATTTATTTTTTAAAATATTTAGTTTTTTTTTTTATTGCAACATCAGATATACTGAGAGGAGGAGAGACAGAGAAGAAGACCCTCTTTCTGATGATTCACTCCCCAGGTGACTACCACGGCTAGTGTTGTGCTGATCCGAACTTAGGAGCCAGAAACTTCCTGCAGATCTCCCACACAGGTGTAGGATCCCAAGGCTTTGGGCCGTCCTCAACTGCGTTCCCAAGCCACAGGCAGGGAACTGGATGGGAAATGGGGCTGCCGGGATTAGAACCGATTGCCCATATGGGATCCTGGCACGTTCAAGGCAAGGACTTTAGCCACTAGGCCCAGGTGCTGGGCCCAGCTCACATCATCTATATTCTACTCTTACACTTTACTGGAAATTTGGCCAGATACTGAATTTTTTACATAATTTGAGAATAAGTAATTTACATTCAGAATTTTGAAGCCATTTTCCTATGTCTTCTAGCTGCCCATGTTGCTGTATATATGTAAATATATGGTTAACTTTAGACCTGGTGTGATGGCTTGGTGCCTAAATTTTAGCCTTGCACACATGGGGATCCCATATGGTTGCCAGGTTGTGTCCTGGTTGCTCCACTTTCCAACCAGCTCCCTGCTTATGGCTTGGGAAAGCAGTCGAGGATGGCACAAAGCCTTGGTACTCTGAACCCACATGGGAGACCTGGAAGAAGCTCCTGGCTTCAGATTAGCTCAGCTACAGCCATTGCGACTACTTGGGGAGTGAACTAATGGATGGAAGATATTTCTCTCTGTTTCTCCTTTTTGCAGATCTGCCATTCCAATAAGAAATTAAATATTTTAAAATTGGTAATCTTCTCAGTATTTCATCTTTATGAAATCTCTACTCATGGGTTGTGAAATGTCATAAGGATGAGCATGAACTCTTTTAATCCTTACATGAACCTATGAATATAGGCAGTTCTTATTCTTCACACAGAAGCACAAGGATCTTACAATAGCTTGATGGGAGAAGCAAGGAAAGCTGCAAAGAACTACAATAATGTAAAAAAGGAAACAAACAAACAAAACTGGTTAACTATGAGAACTCCTGACACATTGTGGCAGAAAAGAACCCCAAATCTGGATCCGGAATTGAATTCACTCTCCAACAACGACTGCTGCGTATAGATTCGGGGCTGATCACTCTGCAGGTCAATTTCCTTACCTATAAAATATAGATTATATTATTTCATATGGTTTCCTAAGACTGTAGTAAAGTGATGGATGGAAAGGTGTGCTCTCTCTAAAGTGTTACACAAACAGAAACGCGCCAGCATCTTACTTGGAAATTTCGGACCGGACATTGCGTATAAAATACCCGGACTACCAGCCCAAATGCGCACATCCTCCTTCCCCTTTAAGTAAACCGGCGCACGGCTCTCTGGGACTTGTAGTTTTGTACTGGCATTGGGCTGCCTCTTGCTCCTACAGGACGAAGTGGCTGGAAGCCCCGGAAGTACTCCTTCGTTGAACTGGTAGAAAGGGAAGGGTCAGAGGTCGTCGGGGCAGAAGGTGTTCCTGCCGCTGGCCCAGTTGCTATGTAGTGGAGAGGCGGGCGCCTTCCCTTAAATTCTGGAACGTTCTTGGGCTCGACTAGGGCAGAATCTCCAGGACTCCTAGCCGCCGGCGTCAAGTCCTAGCCGGCCGAGGAGAGCCGCCGCCGCCATGTTTGGCTGCCTGGTGGCGGGGAGGCTGGTGAGGATGGGGCTGGGTGATCTAAGGAAGAGATCAGGATGCTGAGGGCGAGGTTCCGGGCCTGGAGGTGTGGTGGGCGTGCGGCGGGGCTGGGGATGCGGTGACAGCACTCCTCAACCACTTTCGGGCCGTGTACGGGAGGAGAGCGGGAGGCGGGGGTTGACTCTGCCCAACTTGCAGAGTTGCATTTTCTAGCAACTGCTGGAGTGATGCTGTGCAGGCTTGTCCGTTGTTATTTCAGCAATGTTATCCGCAGACGTCCTGTCCACACACACCCCTTTCTCCTAGAATTCCTCTTCTCTTAAAATTCTCCTTTTTTAAATGGTATATCTCCCCTTTTGATTTTCCCTTATCGGCTTTTGATCATGTATTTACTCTGCACACGATTCTAGGAGCCCTGTGTGTAGCAGATGTTTTTTGGTACTCTTAGTGACATAAATTCGGATTGCCTGCCTTTGAGAAGGAAAATGTCCCACCTGGGATGGTTTTGGCCCTCTAATGAGAGTCATGAATGAATGATGTAGTTAATGACTATGTATGTTAAAAACAAATGTTATATGGGGTTCATGCATCTCTCATACTGTCAGCTAACTTTGAAGGAAATTTAGTTGTAATACTATTTGTGGTTGTTTACCCAGCACTTGATGCATTTTTTTGATGGAGAGCCAGTAGAAGTTTCTTCAAGGCCAGATTCGTTGGAGGTGTTTGCCCCAAATGGGCACAACAGCCCAAGCTAAACATATCTGAAACCAGATGCCAGGAACTTCTTCCAGTTTTCCCACTAGGCACAGGGTCCCAAGGCTTTGGACCATCCTGCTTTCCCAGGTCACAAGCAGGGAGCAGGAGGGGAAGTGGAGCAGCTGGGACATGAACTGGCCCCCATATGGGATCCCAGTGCATGTAAGACTAGAACTGTAGCCACTAGGCTCCTGTGTTGGGCCCTTTTGTTTTATTCTTTATGTATCTTTATATATATATATATTTACTTTATTTTTATAGTTATCATTTTATGATACAGTTCTATAGGCCCTGGGATTTCCCTTAACCCCTGCCTAAGCACCCTCCCCACCCTTCCCCACTCACACATTGTATTCTTTATATTTAAATTAGAGTGTTTTAAAGTGTGTCAGAAAATGTAAAAAGGATGGAATGAGAACCTGATTTTCAGATCATGCAACTTTGGTATGGGTTTAATATAGGGCAATTGATTGTACCTTATAACTAGCACATGAAGTTATCTTGCAGAGTGTTTTTAAGGTTTTTTGTTGTTGTTGTTGTTGTTGTTCTGGTAAATAGGATATTATAGAGGAGACAAATAAGTATTTTCATTACAACCAGCAAATAATAGAACCAGCAGCAGAAAATAAGTTGCAGTCTAGATAGTAATTACTGACTATTTAGTCTTTTTTTAAAACTTTTAAAAAAAAGATTGATTTGCTTTTATTGGAAAGGCAGATATACAGAGAGGAGGAGAGACAAAGAGGAAGATCTTCTGTCCAATGATTCACTCTCCAAGTGGCTGCAACACAAAGACCTAAACCGATCCAAAGCCAGGAGCCTGGAACCTCTTCTGGGTCTCCCACACAGATGCAGGATCCCAAGGTTTCGGGCTGTCCTCGACTGCTTTCCCAGGCCACAAGCAGGGAGATGGGAAGTGGGTCCACTGGGATTAGAACCAATTGCCTATATGGGATCCTGGCACGTTCAAGGCGAGGACTTTAGCCACTGGGCTATTGTGCTGGCCCATTGTCTTAAAATCTAATAGTAATTCACATAGGGTGTTTTCGTGAATAGAGGAATAAGAGCAATTAGAAAATAAGCCAAAATATGTTACATGATTTTACAGTATATTTATGTAAGTGCTTTTAAAATTAATTTTATTTTGCTAATGAATCTGAGATATAAATTATCAGTAACTTTTTTTTACTAACTTCTTTTTAAAAAATATCTTTTACTTTACAGTTCGCTTCAGAGCTGCAGAAAGGGACAGACTGAGAGACAGAGCTTAGCATCTTCTGGTTTGTTCCTCAAATGGCTACAATGGCTAGCTCTTTGGAGTCTCCCATGTGGGTACAGGGTCTCAGGGCTTTGGGACATCCTCTACTGCTTTTCCAAACCATTAGTGGGAAACTGTATTGCAAGTGGAGCAGCTGGGATTTGAACAGGCACTCAAATGGGAGGCTTAGGCATAGGCAGAGGCTTATGCTACTACGCCATATGCTAGCCTTATCAGTAATTTTCTGAAAGTATAAAAAGGATTTTTTTTCTGTGAAAGTGATTTATTTTTTAAAGATTTATTATTTCTAAATTATTACAAAGTCAGATATACAGAGAGGAGGAGAGAAAGAGAGGAAGATCTTCCGTCCAATGATTCACTCCCCAAGTGAGTGCAATGGGCCGGTGCTGTGCTGATCTGGAGCCAGGAGCCAGGCACCTCCTCTGGGTCTCCCACGCAGGTGCAGGGTCCCAAGGCTTTGGGCTGTCCTCGACTGCCTTCCCAGGCCACAGGCAGGGAGCTGGATGGGAAGTGGAGCTGCCGGGATTAGAACCGGCGGCTATATGGAATCCTGGTACATTCAAGGCGAGGACTTTAGCCATTAGACCACGCCGCTGGGCCCCGTGAAAGTGATTTTTAAAAAAAATATTTATTTATTTTTATTGGAAAGGCAGATATGTAGAGAGGATGAGAGGAAGATCTTCTGTTCGATGGTTCACTCCCCAAGTGACTGCAATGGTCGGTGCTATGCTGATCTGAAGCCAGGAGCCAGGAGCTTCTTCTGGGTCTCCCATGTGGTGCAGGGTCCCAAAGCTTTGGGCTGTCTTCTTTTTTTTTAAAGATTTATTTTTATTATTTGTTCATTGGAAAGGCGGATATACAGAGAGGAGAGACAGAGAGGACAGAGAGGAAGATCTTCCGTCCGATGCCGATCCGAAGCCAGGAGCCTCTTCCTGGTGCAGGTTCCCAAAGCTTTGGGCTGTCCTCGACTGCTTTCCCAGGCCACAGGCAGGGAGCTGGAAGGGAAGCGGGGCCGCCGGGATTAGAACCGGCGCCCATATGGGATCCCGGGTGTGCAAAGCGAGGACCTTTAACCACTTGCGCCACCGCGCCGGGCCCAGCTTTGGGCTGTCTTCGACTGCTTTCCCAGGCCACAACAGAGAGCTGGATGAGAAGTGGGGCTGTTGAGATTAGAACCGGCGCCCATATGGGATTCTGGTGTGTTCAAGGCGAGGACTTTAACTGCTGTGTTATCGCATCTGGCCTGAAAGTGAATTTCTTAAACTTCAATCAAATTTGGTTTTATTTTATAAACTATTCCATTCTGGGACCAAAAAATTAGATTATGAAATGAGTCAAGTGGAAACTTCCCAGATTTGTTAGAATTTTTTAATCAGTTATTATTTTTCCCAGTAGTAATGGTGTATAAAGAAAATTTCTATGACCAGTAGGGCCATATTTGTAGTTATATTGGATACTCCCTTCCTTCCACCCCCACCCCCCAAAGAAAGATAGGTATGTAGTTCTCGATATAACAGGCGTTGCCTGTGCTGGGACTCAGGGTAAGCTACCTGAAGTCCTTTAGTTACCGACATTTTCAATCAGCCTATCACTACCTTATTTTATGTTTTTTGAAGATATTTACATAGTTTATTAGGTTGGGAAGGGTAAGTGGGTAAGACCGTTGTTTCCAATTTTTTGTTTATGTGTGTTTCTATTTTAAGACACTTTAACATGCATTAGTAATAATTAACATTCAAATCATGGCCATGGCATAACTCCTATTCAAATAAGATTTATCTAATACAGTTACTTTATCTGAAAGCAATTTTATAGCTTTGGTGGGCTTAGAAACACTACAGCCTTTTCACTTAGTCATTTTCAAGAGCAAAATCAATAGCAACTCAACAGAGGCAAATGTGATGCTAAATAGACAAGAATACCCTAGTTCACAAATGTAAGAACTGAAATAGCAGACTGTTGTGGCATAGTGGATTGAAGTGCTGCCTGCAATCCCAGTAACCCATATAAGCACTGATTTAGGTCCTATGTGTTTTGCTGCTGATCCAGCTCCCTGCCAGTGTGCTTGAGAAAAAGCAACAGAAGATGGCCCAGGTATTTTGGTCCCTATACTCCCTGGGAACCGCAAAGGAAGCTCTTGGCTTTGGCCTCACACAGTCCCAAATGTTGGCAGCTAGCCATTCAAATAGTGAGCCACTGGGTGCAAGAGTCTCTGTCTTCCCCTCTTGGTATAATTCTGCCTTTCAAATAAATAAAATCTTAAAAAAAAGAGAAAGACAAAGTGAAGAGCATGGCCTTCTTCCACCTCAACTGGTAATGTGAGTCAAGCAACTCCTGTTCCTGGCACTTTGCTCCTCAGAGTAGCCATGAATGGCCACAGAAGTGCAGCAAACATTGATGTGGGGCTACAAATGGATTTTTGTGGGTAGGTGAATTCACAGATCCATAATCTGCGAATAATGAGGATTGACTAGTTTTGAAATGCTCGCTCATTTTAATTACCTGACATTCTTTACTTTCAGACCGGAGAATAAGGGTTTAATGGCACGGAGTTTTGAAAAGCCTTAGATTTTGACAAGATTCTAAAAGTTATCTACGTGACTGTAATCTTACCAGGACATACCTGAAACAACTTTGTTGTATTTTTTTTTTAAAGATTTATTTTTATTATTTTTTTATTGGAAAGGCGGATATACAGAGAGGAGAGACAGAGAGGAAGCTCTTCCGTCCGATGATTCACTCCCTAAGTGAGCACAACAGCCGATCCGAAGCCAGGAGCCTCTTCCGGGTCTCCCACGTGGGTGCAGGGTCCCAAAGCTTTGGGCTGTCCTCGACTGCTTTCCAGGGCCACAGGCAGGGAGTTGGAAGGGAAGCAGGGCTGTCGGGATAGAGCCGGCGCCCATATGGGATCCCGGGCATGCAAGGCGAGGACCTTTAACCACTTGCGCCACCGCGCCGGGCCCAACTTTGTTGTATTTTTATAAGACTACATTAATTATATGAACATTTAAGGCCAAATAAGTGATATTAAGTTCCTCCACGCAAAATGTCTGATGCTTTGAAGAAAAGCATTAAGAAATATTTATTTGCTTGCATGATTATTTCCTTGCTCTTAAGCAGCGTAGTTTTTAATGCTTTATGAAATGATATGCATAGATTTGGTAATTTCATAGTTGGAATAGTAAAGTAACTTAACATTATATTTGGTATAATGGGCGTAGCCCACTGTACTGGTAGCATGATTATTAGTGCTATTATGAGAGTTACAGGAACTCATGTAACTATTGAACTCTAAGGCAGGTTTTTTATTTTCTAGGTACAAACAGCTGCACAGCAAGTAGCAGAGGATAAATTTGTATTTGACCTGCCGGATTATGAAAGTATCAACCACGTTGTAGTTTTTATGCTTGGAACAATTCCATTTCCTGAAGGAATGGGAGGATCTGTCTACTTTTCCTATCCTGATTCAAATGGAATTCCTGTATGGCAGCTCCTAGGATTTGTCACAAATGGGAAGCCAAGTGCCATCTTCAAAATTTCAGGTCTTAAATCTGGTAAGAATAATCCATTAAAATAGTTTCACAGTTAAAGTTTATTCTTAAATAATGTAATATGAAACATGGCTTCTTAAATTTTCCTTCTTATTTTATTGTTAAGGCAAAAGATGCTATTATTGTAATTATTACTATTATTTTAAGGATATGGAAACTTTTCAAAAATAGATTTTTTGGTGGCTCCTCACATCTGCGCTCTGCTGTTTTGTATTAATGGATGTTTTACTAGGTAACAAGAGGAGTCTTCTCATGTTATGCATTTCTGTTTTAAGTGAACAGATGAAAAAGGTAGACTAATGGGAAATAGCAGTGTTTTATTGCTTTCATTACGGGTTTTGAATTCTTAGAATCGAATGTCCCTCCAATGTTTTTCTCTTGGTTCTGTTGAGATAACAGGGTTGTATCCTTATTTGAATACTTTTGTGCAGAAAATTGAGACTGAAACAGAATTAGGTGCTATTTACTTCCACTGAATCTTTGATTCCCTTGAAAATCTAGATGAAGACATATATGAAAATCCTTAAAAATGCATTCTGCTACAAACTATTAATGACGTTCATAGAAAACTTTTGTTTAGACAACACGTATGGAGCGTGTTTAAATAACATGGTTAACATTTCAGTATCTGCAATGGAGATTTCAAAGTAATGATCACATTCTTGCCTGAGATGACTTACATTTTTTTTCCCCCAAGATTTATTTATTTTTATTTAAAGGTAAGATTTGTACAGAAAACAGAAAAGCAGAAACAAAGTACTTCTATGCACTGGTTCATTCCACAGAAGGTCACAGCAGACAGAGCCTACGGGGGAAGGAAGAGTGGGAAAGTTGTTATATCTTCTGGATCACTCCCTAAATGGCCACAGCTGCCAGGGTTGGGCCAGGCCAAAGCCAGGAGCCTGAAACTCCATCAGGGTCTCTCCATGGGTGGGAGGGACCCAGGCACTTGTGCCATCTTGCACTGTTTTCTAAGGCACATTAGCAAGGAGCTGGATTTAAGTTTGAAGATTAGGGACTCAAAATGGCACCTAAGAGGGAGATGGAAGAGTTGCAGGCGGCAGCTTAATCTACTCCACCACAAACCAGCCTCACAGAAACTCTGATCACACCTCTCGTCGTCTTTTTAACTTTTTTCTCTTTTTATTTATTTGTTTGTTTGTCTGCTTGTTTTTTATTTCCCCTTGCTTCCTCCCCAAATCCTCTCCCCACCACCATATTCCCCTATATTATTACTGTTGCAAAGCTCTTCATAAACAGTCACATGTTCATCATCGCAGACGTGGACAGTGGCAGAGAGTCCAACCTCCCCTTGTCAAGATATAGTTAATAGTTCTCTAGTAGTCCGTCTTTGATCTGGAAGTAGAGATGCATACTGCACTGCATCCTCACATCTGGACATGATAGCTTCCATTACAGTCACCACACAACCCTCTTAAATGAAAAGCCACAATAAAAAAATCAGTAACAGGAAGGAAAATAGAAATTTATAACACCATGAATTTCTCAAGAGGTTCGATAGTTCAGCAGTCCTGAATTGCTGGTGAACCTGCTGCTCCAATCATGATGAAACCTCTCCCAAATCCACTGGCTGCTATAGTCCAACTTAGTGTCTCCGTCTGCCCAGATCTTCACTGCCAAGGATTGGCAGGGGTAGTTGATTAATTTGTTCTGTCCTCTGTCCTCTGCCATGGTACTAGGTGTCCTCTGCAGGTTCCAATGTTCTGCCATATCCTTCATATACATTTGTATATGCTGTCCTGTGCTCCATCTGAGCCACTGAGGAGTTCAGCTCTGACACATCTACTCCCACAGTCAACCTGTGAAACCTGCAATTCTCTCCATGGTTGGGGTTCTGAGGTCCAGCAGTTCAACTTGTAGGGAATCACCCAAGAAACCTCATCTGAAGCTATCCCAGACCTGATTCTTGAGTGTCTTTGTCAATACAGAGTCCGGCACAGTCTATCACCCAAATCAGCCTACGTACACACTGGCAATTGCAGTTGCTGAATCAGTTCTGTTTCTAGCCCCATGTTTTACGAAACCAGATGGGTATTGGAGCCCAGCCTGCTCCACCACATACTCGGCCTCCACGTAAACCAGTGGGAGCTGCAGTCTAATTAAAATGAACCCCGCTGGGCCTGCTCCCTGCCCTGGTTCCTGTGCTTGCTAGTATGTACAGCAGACTGGTTCAGTCTGTCCCACATCCCATTCAGCTCTCATACATGTAGATGGGTATTGAAGCCCAGTTCATCCCAAACCAGCCTCACTATTCAGTCCACACTAGTGCCAGCGGGTGTCACCATCTGTTTAAGCCATGCCTGTGCCTGACAGAATTTGGCCCCTGTGCCAGCATCTGCCAGCTGATGCTGTGACAAAGCCCAGTCAATCCACACCGAAACTAGCTTATGCGTGTACCAGAAGGTACAGTCAACCCAGCCTGGCTTTTCCCTGATCCAGCTCATGTGTAGGACATCGGATGTGGCCCTGCCCAGCCTGGTCTGCCCCCATCTCGGCTCTCATGCTCATCAGTGGGACAAGTGGCCCAGCAGGGGGACCTTCGCAGCCCCCTCACTGGGGCCATCCCCAATACCCCCTGTGTTTCACATGTGCTGGTTGGGTGCTGCGGCCCAGTCTGGCACAGCCCCCTCACCTCGGCATTTACTAGTGAGTGCTGTAGCCAGGCCAGGCCAGGCCCACCCCCAATTCCAACTCATTCTGGTGGTGGCTACAGCCTAGCCCAGCCTTGCCAGCCCCCAATCCTGGCCCTCATGTGGACTGACTGGTATTGCGCCCTGACCTGGCCTGACCCACACTCCATTCTGGCACACCTCTCATCTTACATTTCCTAGAGCAGTACTTAATCCCTTGGTGTTTCTTAAGTTCTTGAACTGTGCTGTTAAATACCTTCTGTCTCCCCTGAAAGCTTATTGGGACTCCTTTGTAGCCTCACTCGCTTATCCTTCTCCAGTGTAGAGCAACAGGGATCTACTTTTTCTAGAACATTTATAAATGAAATCATACGGTGTGTGCTTTTTTTACTTGACTTCTTTGTTCAGCAAGTAGATTTCTTTTTTACTGCTAGGTAGTATTCTATACTATGATTTGCTTATCCATTCATTGGTTGATGGTATTTAGGTTCCATCTAGTTTCTCACTCTTAAATAAAGCTTCGTGAAAATTTTTGCACAAAATTTTATAGGAATGTACACTTTGATTTGTCTTGAGTAAAATACCTAGTAGTGAAATGCTTGTACTGTATAATACTTGAATGTTTTTAAGAAACTGCCAGACTATCTTCTAACATAGTTTGCATAATATACATTTGATCAGTGGTATATGAAAGTTCCCTTCTCTCTCTGTCACTGCCTAATTGAGAATAAAAAATGACATTGATTTGGAACTTGTTTGGGGCCTATTAGAAATACATATGGGAATAAAGATTTCAAGCTTCCAGCTCTGGCTCTTGAGCCATTTGGGAAATGAACCAATGGATGGAGGATATTTCTGTCTATCCTCTCCTTATATCTGATCTGCCTTTCCAACAAAAACAAATAAATCTTAAGAAAAAGGGAAAAAATTCAGTTCAAGCAGTCTTTTTCTGATTTTTTTTTTTTTTAATTTGAAAAGTAGAGAAAGAAAGCGAAAGAGAGACAGAGTAAGTTCTCCCCTCCTCTGGTCCATTCCTCAAATGACTTCAGTGGCCAGGACAGGGCTGAAACCAGGAGCTTCTTCCCTCATAGGTGCGGGGACCCAGGCACTTGGGCCAGCCTTCACTGCTTTCCCAGGCATATTACCTGGAAACTTGATTGGAAGTGCCCATAGGGGATACCAGCATTGTAGGTACTGCTTAACCTGTTATCACAAGGCTAGCCCCTTAAGCAATCTTGAATACATGCCCCTGAGGTTGTACAAAATGATGGCTGATTTTATAATTTAAAGTATGAGAGGCTTGTTAATTACAGTTCTTCTTTGTCAAGAATTGTGATTGTGTGAAGGAGTTTGCAAGAAGGGGATTCAGCACAGTCTCAGGAAGCAAAGGAGATAGCTTCACAGACTCACTACAAAGGTTTATGAATTTCCTCTCAGAAATTGTAGTTGGGCCCAGTCCACAGGTCAGTATGTTCAGACAGCTTAGTTCCAAAGTGCAACTGTCTGCTGATGAACCTAGAAATGTAGCAGATGATGATCCAAGTACATTAGGCTCCTATGATCTAAGTGGGAGGCCAGGATAGAATTTTTTTTAAATTATTAATTAGTTTTATTTTTGATGACTTCTACATAGTTAATTAGGGTGATAAGGTTCAAGGGCTATAAGAAGGTAGGAGAGATCACCATTTCCGCATTCTCTTTTTTTCCTTCCTGTGTCAGGGGAGAAGGCCTACAAGGAGAGAAGCCACACAGCCTCTCAAACGCCTCTGCACCCTGGGATGGAGGACAGACAGCCACCTGACACCACCCCAGGGTCCCGATATGGGGCATGCTGTGGGAGTGCTGTTCATGAGGTTTCAGTAGATTAACAGTTCTGAATTAATGCCAATATCACACCCCAAGCACAATGAAATCTCTCCAGAATCCACTGGTTGACACAATCCACATTAGATCTTCCTTTGCCCAGTTATTCATTGGCAACAACACCATTTGTTGTTGATCCATTTGTTCTTTCTTCCATCCTCTGTTATGGTACCAGGTGTCCTCTGCAGGTTCCAGTGCACTGCCAAATCCTCCATGTGCATCTGAATGTGCTGTCCACTGCTCTAAGCCACTGAGGAGGCCAGCTCTGACACATGCATTCGATGTTCAGACCATGGAACCTGCTATTCCTTCCATGGTTGGGGTTCTGAGTCCAGCAGTTCAACTTTTAGGGAATTGCCCAAGAAACTTCATCTGAGGTGATCCCAGACCTAATTCTTGGGTGTTTGCCAATACAGGGTCTGGCACAGTCTGTTACCCAAATCAGCCTGCGCACACACTGGTAGTTGCAATTGCTGGATCAGTTCTGTC